AACAATTCAATGAATTTGAAAAAAAGCTGCTCACTTACTAGCTATAGCAAAAAAGCTCTGTCATTTGATATTTGCCACAATCAGTTTGGAATTTAATGTCTGAGCACTTTAAAAGCGATCCTGACATTTTAATATTGTCTTGCATTTCCTAGCAGTATTTTATTTTTTTTAAGCCGACGTGGAATGTTTTGATTATTGTAATGCAGTTTTGACGCAGACCCTCACAAAGCGCCTCTCCAATCTGCAAGAAAATGATGCAAGATCAAACGAGACGCTTTTTCTGCAAGAAAGCAAACATCTTTCAGGATGGAGCTCAGCTACCAAATGCAGGTCCACACCAAAACGGCACAGAGCCTGAAAATTGCAGCAAATCTTTGCCCCACATAAAATAAAACGCTCTCCAGAAAGGCAGCTGTTGTTCTACGGGTAGAGCAGTTGGCTTCCAGAGCAGGGTAGCAATAAGATAGTATGCTTTATTATGAGTGTCATGGAGACGGTGTGAAAAATCAAGAGCCATAGGCAGTAAGCGGCAATGGGTCAATAATGTTCACCGAGACATTGTGTAGATAATCAACAACAAGGCCCTGGGTTCTCTATGCACTGCAAACAGCTGAAGGGCAAATCAATACAGCCATGGGAAGGACACTGCCCGGCGCTGCTCCCCGCAGCACGCTGCGGAGGGCACCCTAAAAACAAGTGGATGCAAACTTGCACTGCTGTAAAGCCGTGCCCTCGGAACGGAGCAAGGCTTGGAAAATATCGAATAATAGGAGAGGAGGGGGCAGAGCCCAACCTCGATATTAAATCACGGAAGAAATCAGATACCAAAAAATACGTATTTGGAAAGCTCATGACAGAACACAGCCTGGGTGTAATTTTCAGTCCAATTATATCCTTAAAAATAAACTCAAATCCAAACCCCTTGAAATGAATAAGACATATACCTGAAAGAAAGAGTTCAACACAGAGCAGCTTAAAATTTGGAGTACGATAATTAGTGATCCGTCTTTTAAATTAGTAAGTGGAAATCACGCATTAATAGATGCATCTGTGCAATAGCAGTGATGCAAACCAAACACAAAATACTGAAAACACAGACAACTGGCTCTGAGGCAGCGTTTTCCTGGCAGTATTAATAATTGACACCTTGTTAAATAAGTGATATTAATATTGTAAATTTCTCCAGAAAAAAAAAACTATCACATGTGAATGTTGATTTATTATTTGTTAGAAAAGGTGATTCTTGACATCCATCATTCTATTAATCATTAGATGTAATTTCTCAGTCATTGTGTACAACCACCTTTCTTGAAAACAAAGTGAAAATATGCTGGAAGGAAAAAAGCTCATGAAATGCTTCTGTTTTCAATTATTCCAGCCAAAAAGGACTCCCTTCCTCCTTCCAGGGCATGATAAAATTCCTGTCCTATTTCACCTATCGTGTAAAAATAACATAACCACATTTAACTGGGCGCTCACTTAGGATAGGCATGTTCTGCTTCTGGCAACTGCCACAGAATTTTTTATAAAGTATAAGTGGTGAAGCGACAATCTCAGCAATACCAAACAGCCACACTACACCGACCTTGCTATCGAGATTGAAATATTTGGATTTATTTTTTTTTTAGCACGACGGATACGAAACCAAAACCTTTTAAGCCTTATTTTCCTCACGTTAACTATTTCTGTATGCACAGCCGTAAGTTATTGGATTATATTTTCATGAATTATTCAGGGCAGCCCCCAGCAGCGGGGAGCAGCGCGTGCTGCAGCCCTGCTCTCATGCAGAGGGCTCTGGCACCGTGGGGTGAGCGGACCTGCGCCAGCCCTGCAGCACTGCTCCGGGCAGGGAGGAAGGGTCCTGCTCTTGTGCTGAGCGAGCAGAGTTTGTGTAGTTTGATATGCACAAGATGGATGGGATTGATTGCTTCCAAGTGCTCCTCGTAGCACTCGTTCTCCCTGGACCCGCAGGAGGCGGTGGTGATGTTTTCGGATGGCTTCGGTGGTAAAGCAAATGAAGTTTCATTTTGGAAAATATTCCAGTAAAAAGCCATTCAAAGTTCTGCACTTCTGTGCTTTCCCAAAGGTAAGGAAGGAAATAAGGGAGTATGGTTGGAATAAACAAAAAAAGTATGTCTAAAGATGTTGAAATAAAACACAGAGTACCTTCTGAAGGGAATTTCGAAGTCCTCTATTCTTTTCACCATACGGAACAAAGGCTGTAAAAGCACAGGGCAACAGCCAAGGAAAGGAAATGGTTATTTAAGCTAAAGGTCAGTGTTGGAATAAAGACTTAAATAACCATAATTACACCGCTGTGGGAACACATGAAAGACTTCCAGCCCTTGATTTTTAACCCATCGGTATTCTGGAATCCCTTTCCAAGCACAGCAGAGGATGTCCACAAGTCCCGTGTTCCTCAGGCATTGCAGCCTGCTGTCCCACAGAGGTGTCCCTGCAATGCACATGGCTCACTGCACTCCCCTTGTGCCCATTTCAGCTCCCACCTCAGTTAATGATGAGTGCAATTATGATGAGGATAAACAAAAAAAAATTCTCATGTCTACTTCAAACTTTTGCTAACCAGCTACATGCTCTAATTGATGCTTGAGCAAACCAACTGAAATATTTTGAACTTCAAGAAAACAAAAAGCTGAGCCTTCTGAAACATTTTTTTCTCCACAATCCTGTATTTATTTCGTGTCTCCTAAGCAGCTTGAAATCTTTAACTACGAGAAATAACTTGAAAGATTGGATTTGGGATAAGAAATTTGTATCCAACAGATGGCGTTGCTTCCTAATAGTCATCTATCTGTCTCTCAGCAGATTTCTCTGATCTTTTGAATAATAATAAAATCTGCAAAGGACCCCTTTCTTACCTATCCTTGCTCTCCATAGAAGCTTACTAAGAAAGCAAGAAAACAAGTATTGTGCACATTCACCAACACATCAAATTAAGGCAGTGAATTATTCAGGCAATTTACTGGCAGAAATCTGGGGCTAGTTCCAGGAACCCAACACAACAGGACGTCAGCTAACATGGAAGAGACAGCACTTTGGATAAAAGGGTTGCAAACGTCAGCTATGCACAATCACCTTCAGCATAGACAGATGGTGGTGACCACACCATTGTAAAAGAACTGAAGAAAAAAGTGAAAAGAAGGGAAGGTGTTTTAGTACGCCTGCCAAACCAGCGCAAATCAAGTCAGAGGGATGGTTTCATGGAAGGTCTTGCCACGGACATGCATGCGGCTATGAGCACACTTCTGTCCTGCCTGTCAGCACCTCTGGGCTTTTGCAAAACTGCTGTAGCAATCAGATTGTGCACATTGTTACACAGAATCACCTGGAATTCGCACTGTGACAAGAAAAAAAATTCAGAATTACTCCATGTACTGATAAACCACCTGGAACCAGTTCTGTAGATGAAGTATGAATTAGACAAAGGTTTAAATGCAAGGATGGTAACGCTGGTTACATACTTCCACTAAAAGGAATGATAGGCTTTGTCACCTATCTCCTTGTGCCCTGAAGACAGAGTGAACAGAAGAAGTATATAGTTGTGCCCTTTTTTTTTTTTTTCTTTCTTTTTTCCCTCTGCAGAATGACAAAGAATTAACCATTAGCTTGAAATGACAAGACTTCACAGGCTTATTTGGACTTCATGCTCTTAATTTTCAGTGTAATGATACAAAAAGCGAGGAAACATGGTCACTGCCTCTTAATGGCCAGAAGGAGACGTCCAGCAACCAGATGCTTTGTCATGCTGGCTGCTGAATAGCTGGGAAAAAAGTAATGCAGCTTGTGTATGTGAAAAAGGAAATTCAGACCTCTGTGCAGCAAGGCATAATGATGGCTAGGTGCTGATAGCAGACTGCAAGGCAGCGAAAATGCTCAGTACATCTCATAGATCAATAAATAGCAGTTCTTGTGGACCAATTTTATAGTTAAATTAATAAATCATGATTCAAATGACAATGTAAAACAAAATAGAACAGCCTACCGATACTCTTTGCCTATACCTTTTTTTAAAACAAATTTGGCCAGCTCGGCTTCCACAAGACAGCTGTCTTAACAGAAAATACCAAAACATACCATACTGTCAGCTGCTAGATTTGTGAAATGAAAGACAGAACTTCAAAGACAAAATGAACCAGACGTACCAAAGAACACAGTTCTGCCAGCAAAGTATTAAGTGACACTGTAGATTCACCAGGAAGAAATCCATTCTACCTTGTTTATAATACTTTCAAAGGACTAAGGATTTGTGCTTTTAGTCCAAGTTAGGAAACAAAAAGCATTTTTACACAAAACCATTATATTTAGACCAAAGAAATCCTGAAGCCAAAACAAACAATAACAAACAAAACCAACTAATAAGGCAGATTCAAAAGCTGGTGCTTTATTCCAGCTTTACTACTGACATTCAGTGTGGAGTAAAAGCTACTCACATAGCATGAGGAATAGTAAAGAGCATTCAAACTTTTCAAAAAAGGTAAATGCTTTGTTATTTAAACATTTTTAGTTCTAAGCAAATTCAAATCAAGCCCTCATTTCAGTGTTATCCTCAAGCATATCCTCTTCTAGGTTACTGGTAAGAAAACACGTATCTTGTTTAATATCAGAAAAGAGTAAATACTCAAACAGAAGCATTATGCCATTTAATAGAGAGGAGTTCTAGGAGGAAACAATCAGTAGATTTCCTTTGTGACTTCTATGAAGTCTAACTTTTTAAAATCAGATTTTTCAATTATTTCAGAGCATGGCCATCACCTAACTTTAGGCTTTCATTATTAACCCATCAGTGGCACCCATTCAGTTCCAGTGAATGAAGACAGTAGGGCCCTATACACCTTGAGTCCTTCATTAAACTATTGATCCCCTCAGCATTATCCATAATGTTCCAGCAGCCCAGCATGTCAACAAATGTAGAGCTCACTGCTCTTTCCTTTCAATAACTTCCACGCTTTATGGGGAGGAAGTCACAGTGATTTATTTACCTGACATTTCCCAGTCCGGATATCGTAGAGGGCCACTGAACCATGGCGAGCTCCAACTGCTATTCTGTGACTTCGCTCGTAATAGCTGACCATGTAGAACCTGAATTGAACATCATAACAAGTAACAGGTGAGAACTGACCTGCCTGCATGATGTTAAAATTAATTTGCAATGCCACTGGTTAACTAATGTTAACATGGGAACAGAGATTTCATTTGGAAATCCATCAGCTGCCACTTTTCATTGTTGGCATTTACCAAACAAAGCTAACTGATGCTTGATACATCACTGCAGAGATATAATACATTTGTTCAATTTTGGTTTTGTTACCATGTGGTTAAACAACTCTGATGAGTTTGGGAACAGCCTATGTAATAGGCTGAATATCCCTGAATATCCATCTGCTTGTGCTGTTCACAGCTCAGCACCACCATAACCTGGATGCCAGTGGTTGAAGAAGACAATCCTAACATACTGAGCGACTTAAAAGCAAAAAAAGGACAAGTCATCAAATCAGCTGTAATCCTGTAACACTGTTCAGGCGAGAAGGAGCTGAGAAGCATGTGGTAGCCCTTGAAATACAGCAGGAGTGTATGCCATTGATTTGAACACAAACAGCTGCAATATTCAGAGAACCCCCCGAACTACTTGGGAATATACTTGCACTTTTCTTCTAAATGGAAAAGTAGACCTGCGAAAATTGTCAACTGCATGCCCTTTTAAACTTCTATTTTACAGTTAAAGTTCATTATAGCAAACTATAGCAGAGCCTGCTAAAATTGTTCTATCATAATATACTGCTGACCACATTTATGGCTTGAACTGGAAATCTTGTAACGAACCATCTCCATGCTCTTAAGGATTCCCGAAGTGCCATAGCAACAACTCTCTTACACAGCTGATACACTCTTTTCTATGGCACACGTTAGCAGTCGGGAAGAAAAACAGCATGAAACGTGGTGTTAAGCCAACTAAAGTAAGGAAATGAAAAGCATTTGTTTTGATGCAGAACAAAAAGCAAGACTAACTAAAAGACTAAGCCCAGGTGCTCCAGGATGTGCCCAGTGCCGTGGATATGCAGCCATCCACAGCGTCCACAGCATGTGGATGCCTCCCTACCTACAGCATTAGGCACTGGGCATGTTATCCATCACACGTGGATAATACGTGGGGCTGCAATAACATAGCCTTCACTATTTTCCCTGTTTTATATCAAGTTGCAATCACCAACACAAAGTGGTGCCACAGTTGACCAGGCAGGTTATCTGTAGGGCTCTTTTGTGTAACCAGCAAACTCAAGATTTATATTTAAACTTACAGAAAAACACACTACGTATCATTACAAGTGAAACAAAACACAACAAAAGGTTTATACATAAGAAGTTTTAAATCCCTATTATTACCATTATAGCACTGAATGGGCACAGTCCACTTGCCTTCTTCAACAGATTTAGAAAGAGAATATTGCATACTGTTATATGCAAGCATACAGCATTTCTCCTCTTACTGCATTTAAATGCCCATTTAGACTGAGAGCTGAGTCAGTATTTCTCTTTGAGAAGAATCCATCAGTCTACATAACAACAGACTGTTTGCAGGAAAAAGCTTCATGAAAACAGACATTTTTGAGCTTAATTTTATAAAAAACATTACTCCTTCAGCTGACATTCAGTTGTCAGCCCTTTCGCTTTCCTCTTTATCTTTTGGCTTAGTATTGTTGCAGCATCCACAGATTTAAGTATTTTAATCCTCTGCCTCCCTTTTTAAACCTCTAAATGGCAGAGCTGAATAGAGAATGATATGCCAGCATATATTTCGGCTATGCTACAGATCCATTTTTGCAAGCCTAGCTGATGCATCCATATCCACCATTGGCATCTTAATGGAAACCTCACTTTGAGTGCTGCTCCATTACTGCTCAGCAAGGAAACTTCAGTCAGCCAAGAGACAGCTTAATTTAACTGCTGGAGGAATGCTGCTGGACCCAAAGAAACAGTGCTGCTCTTCTGGTAGCAACTCAGCCTCCAAACTTAAGGGTGAGCTGCATCTCACATGCTCTTTCTCCCTGCGCTTCCCAACTGAAAACTGTCTTTGGGAATAGGACAGATGGCCAATGAGAGAAAAGCCAAGCATTTGTATTGTCAGAATGCTCAAATGCTCCAAATCTTTGTCCAAAGAACTTGTGCACTAGCTAGCAAACAGAAAGTTGTGAAAGACCAGTTGAGAAACCACCAAGCAGAAGGGAAGGTACCTTTCACCAGTGGCCTTGAATTCCTTCAGTTGTGCTCTAAGTTTCCACAAGTAATCAATGCATAAAATGTTGTTGTACAACCTCACTTTGTCTAATTCTTGATGTACTCTCTGCAAGTCTGCTTCTTAGTAAAAAGCAATCTAAAATAGTTGTTGTTGTAAATTTAATCTATACTCCCATGTGAGATGATGCTGTTACACAGAAGGTTTGAAGTCAGCAAACTGTACTAAATGCATGACCTGACCCAACGCAGTCCATCAGGGACCACTCAGCTTTGTGTAGTTGCTGAATCAGGATAATGCTGAATTTGAACAGAATTTTGTTGCTCTCAATATCAGCCCTCAAAATTTTAAAGAAATTCAGAAATATCTCATGCATATTGCACTGCATTTCAACACTTCCATTTTTGTAAGAAATGGGTTGGTAGTGAGGATGCCAAAAGGTAATACAACCCCCTTTTAAGAAAATATCACTAATGGGAAAAGAAAACGCACATCATAGTCACATGCAATGAAATACTCTGCATGGTGATGGATCTACCTCATCACCACGTATCAGGACTGAGTCATGCTCACAGCAACTAGCAATAGACTGCTGCTGTTGTACAACAGAAAGAAAAAAGAAAAAGAAAAAAGGAAAGAATCTGGTACTTCAACACAGCACACTGCTGTTCACAGCTGTGGGTTTTTACTGTTCTATGAAAATATGAACGCCCCTCCAAAGGGACAAACAAGCAAAATATTTGTCATTACAGAGCACTGCAGAAATGCCCTATGGGAGGCTATGAATAAGAATGCACACCTAATGAAAGTATTTGGGCAACTACACAATTTAATCACAACAGGTGTGCATATAATGCAGGTCAGCAGAAAGGGCAGCAGATATTAACAGAATTAATAATAGGATTACGTCAAAGTGCTTCCACTTGGACCCTCTCCAGATGCTCAACAACTTGCTAAAATGTTATGAAAATTTCCATTGGGCTGAATGACCACGTCAGTGGGGTGCTGTATCATTTTTACAATGGCTATAACTATGTATAATAGGAAATATTACTTGTAATTTAACAATCCGTTAAGATAATGTATAACTATAAAAGTACAACAGGAAAGGGAAGATTTTTTGCACTAATTCCCACTTGCCCTTGCATTTATGTGTTACGTTAAGCCTTTTAAAGTACCAAGAAGAAGGAAAACTACTTCTATCAGTGTCTTATCTGTCAACAGAATAATAGTTCCTTTCTTGAAACTACTCAATATTTTAATAGCTTATTAAATTAAAATGTAATGGTGGAGAGACAAAAGTTACAATTTATTGGTCGTACTGGTTTAATGGTATAACTGGGACATTCATCATAGTCTTAAGCTGTTGTGTGTCTACATGTTATAAATTGCATTTTACTGTTAAAGAGGCTCAGAGCCAAGCAGAAACATCCCAGGACCAAAGCACGTAATGGTGCTCAGCTCCCTTCCCAGATCAGTGGGGCTGGGAATCTGCACACTCTAAAGAAACCAGCAGAGCTCTTCTGATTTTGAGAGGTTTAATTTCAATTGCCTCTCCTGCATCAGCATGAGAGCTTCAAAAATTTTTTTAAAAAACAGTTCAATAGCAGCCCTTGTGTCCTGCTTCCTGCCACAGGGCTCATCTGCCCCCCAGCAGGCGTTACCTGAATTCAGCTTTCATTCCCTGCTTCCCAAATCTGCTCAGAGCTCAAGGATGTGGTGGGAGAGGAGAAAATTCCAGCAGGCCTGAGAGGCTCGCCCAAAATTGCAGGGCTGTGCCAACAACTGACTGACAGATCACACAGACAGATTGCAACAGCAGTCAGCTATTGCCATTAAGGGATGCAACTTTTATTTTCAAAATTCCCCACTGGAGGACATTTCAGAGAGCAGAGCAGAGACAGACCTAGGCTTCCTGTGAATTAGATACTTTTTTGCTATTTGGCCAGGCTCCCAGTAGGAGAGCACACTTTCCTGAAGGACTGGGCTGCTGACAACAGATCTAGAAATGAAAGCAAGAGAGCTTCTACGCCCACCTTCGCCTCGAGAGCTGACATGTAGCTTAAGCTGGCTGCTCACAGCTTCATTTCAGCTTAGGAACAGACAGCAATTCAGCTCAAAGGTGTTTGGGGAAGTCAACACAACGTAAGCTACCTGTACCTGGAAACAATCCACCACTAAGCTCCCCTAAACCTCCAAACCAAATCCTTATTTTCTGCTGTCACCATCTTAGTCCATTTTTCTTCTGCAGCCTGTACATTATTATGTCAATTAATTCACTCAAGCAGGTCATACATATTGGAATCTAGCTTGTTACTCAAGAATGTTATTATCATTTCTGCAACAACAGCAACAAAGATATTCATAAACCCTTTGAAAGAAAGCTGCCCAATTAATTTGGTGTGCTTGTGCAGCTGTTGCAGCTAGGATGCATGACAGGGCAGCAGGACAGTTTTTCCAAGAGACTGCACAGTGTTTTCCTCATTCTGGACTTTTACAATACTTGGTTAACACTTCTCTTTTCTGGTTCCTATCTGTCAGATGTGGCAGAAAACTAAAATCTGTAAAGAATATTAGAAGTAAGCTAAAAACCATTCTTCTGATTTGCTGTTGTAAGAAGCAAGTATGTTCCACTCCAAGTATGAAATGCATCTTGCCAGAGACCCCCATTATTTTGTTCTCATTATTCACAAAGGAAGAGCTTACCTGCAGATGGCTGGAAAGCATTCTTGAAGACCTTTTTTCTTAACTAAAGATCCTTCGAGGCAATACATGATGATGTCCATAACCTTGGAAACGAAAGTTGAAAATATCTGACATTGTATACTTCATAGTAACGTTTCTGACAGGCAAAAACAAAATATTTCTGTGCCTCACTGCATTTTCAAAACCTAAATTTAAAATCTGTACCAAAACTGCAGAACCATTGCATTGCCTGTACCATTCTTCACCAGTACTTGTTGGCACCAATGAAGACGAAGGCTAAACATGTCCAAATGACCCCCAGCATGTTCAGGTACTAGTCCCACCAGCACACATGTAACCACCAGCATACTATCTTGCTCGCTTGATCCCCCCACAATCATGCCACAAAAGTGTTTAACATTTTAAGTTAAAAAGGTTTATGGTACACAAGAGAATCAAATGCCACAATGCCGTTCCGGCCAAGGCATTATTTATTACTGCATCAAAACCACAAAGCCATACGGCACGACAGCATTACCTCCACAAGAAGGTCCACAACGTCGGTAGGCATCTTCTCAATAAGGATTTCAATGACTCTCAAGATCTCTCCTTTAGCCCGAGCAAGAGTTGTGGTGTGAATATTCTGCTGAGACTGTGTGTTTGCTGCAAGGGCGGTGTGTCTGTGCACCTACAAGGAGCAGGGTTACACATGCAAACTTGGATTTGCTAAATATTCTTACTAAATACGTTACATGGGGTGAGAGTGCTTTGCTTTACTTCGCTTTGATTATGAGTCACCAGTGGTCATCCCTGATGCAGTTTTTAAACAAAAGTCTACCTTTGTTTTGAGTATTACTTAACCTCACGAAGCTACAGGTCAAAATGAGCAAATGCTTAGGGTTTTGATTACATAATTGTGACATTTTTCTTCGTATTTCCTCAGGAAGCAGGTGCCTGCTTTATAACAGGCTTTTTGTGGCCTGCTGCTGAACATCTAGCTAAGCAAAAGCTCCAGGCATCTGGGTTCACTCAGATGAGTCTCAGAAAGACAGCGCCGACCGACACCAACCTCTGAGCACCGCCCCCTCCTTGCCCCCAGCCTGCACGGCTCAGTCCCCATCCTGCTTCGATTCATACTTTTAACTGGGTGGCGTTTGCATTGCTGAGGGGAAAAGTAGCATTTTTTACACATTAATATTTGAAGTCTGGACAACCTGTAGATCACGATATGACAAAGATATAACCGGCTAAGTATAAACCCAATCGTAACTTGTGTGTCAACAATGCAAACGCGATCCTTGCTTTTTCCCCTTCTGGGGAGGAAGGGCAGGACGTGTGACGGCTCACTGCTGTCCCACAGGGGCTCACCACCCTGCTCACCTCCTTGGCGATGGTGGTAATGAAGGCGGGCGGCCGGGCTGTGGCGATGAGCGAGAGCGCGTGGCGTGCGGAGCGTGCAGAGTCAGCCGCCGGGCTCAGGGGCAGCCCCATTGTGATGCTAAACGGCGCCAGACAAAGCAGGGAGAAAGAAAAGGAGCATTAGAAATATAGAGTGAAGAGATTAGAAACAGCTTATAATGTCAGTTCAAGGTCAACGGGAGCACTCAAACAGTTAGAATATAATGGACTCACAACAATGAGCAGTGATTAGGAGTCAGGGTGTTCTATCATCAAATACAAAATCGAATAATTAACCATGAAGATTGAAAACAGTATGTGCATCTGTCCCAAGTGTTAAAAAGGCCTTGTTAACAAATTACCTGTATGTGTTGAATACATATCACGGCGCCCAGGACAAGGCAAATGAGGAATGTCTTGCAAAGAAATTATGTTTTACACTTCTACAAAATCTTAAATTCTGGCTGAAAAACATCCTTTTCATAGTAATTCTACTTAATTCAGCTACGCACTAGTTTCAGGAGATTAAAGCAAGAGGCTTCTTGAACTGAACTCGCTGAATCTGTTCAGTTTAATTTGCTTTAGTGCATGACTTACAGAAGCATGCAGAGATGACGGACCCATGCCTTATGTTACTTACTAAAATTATTCAAATGCTCTTTAAAAATTTCTAACCACGAGGTTTTTCTGCAGTGTTTCAAATAACACTCAGAGATTAACTAGCATCTGAGTTTTCCATATGTAGCATTTTTATTTGCTATGGCAGCATAAATTTAAGAAAAAATAAAGTAGGTAGCCAATAGCTGCATTAATCAAAAGTAATATCTCTTATGTCATAACTGAGAGAATAAGTTAGCTGACAAAGAAGATGCATATCTAATTTTTGTCTGAAAGCTTCCTTTCTTAAAAGGCTACTACTTCAACTATCACTGTTTAACTACCATTATCTATGTCACAGCAGACTGCATTCTTGCTGGGCGAACTCTACACTATCCAGAAATTCTACAAATCCTTCCTGCACCCACACCCAAATCCACAGCCCAAAATGAAAGTACTTCTACAGGCTAAGAGCTCTTAGCTTCTTTGCCTTCAGAAAAGCAAGCTAATGTATGAAGTTATATCCGATCTGCCTGAAAATCAGAATACAAAAATCAGTAGCACTTGAAGGCGCTCAGTTAATACTATGGGGGAAGGGCATTATGGCAAAGCAGTGTTTACCTCCTGGCTTCCATTACCAGAAGGGAACATTTTCCCAACAGAAAAGAACAGCGGTGTGGGAGCTGGAAATGGGAGGAAAAGGGTTGTGTGGAAACCAAGAAAGATCATCCTCTGAGAAGGAATTGGGCTTTTACAGACGGGGAAGAAGCAGCTGGGACACAGCGTTCAGTGGGATTAGCCTGGCACAAACAGCCTCTGGAGCCCAACATGCATACTGCAGCAAAAAAAGCAACACCACAAACAGCTCTTTGCCAGCCCTGAAACAATCCTGCCGCTATAGCCATGCTACCCAGAAGTAGCCTCCTCACTTACCCCCCCGCTCCCCAACCATTGCTGCTTAGCAACAACAAAATATTAGCCTGTAAACAACATGGACAGGTTAGTCATTTTCCTGTAAAAATGAGGTCCTTTCCTGCATGCTGCCACCTCCACCTGCAGCGATCTCTGTCTGAAGACCAGAGATGAAGCTGGGATTCTCCCTTTGCACGGGGGGTAAGTTTTGAGAACATGCAGGAGAACAACGCTGTCTAACAAACTGCCATCAAATTTTAATGGAATTTATATATCCCAGCTGTTTGTATTACAAATATGTGTGAATGTAATAAAAACGAAGATTTGCTTCAGTGTAAGCATGTCATTTAAGTGCGTGTTAACAATAAAACGTTTCATTACATGAAAGAAGATAAAATCTCTGCTATCCCTGTGATTTCAGATGTTTAATACTCTAAAGAACATAAATGAGGTAAAAATTCATTCAATAAAATGAGTCCAGTGCAGTGAAATCATCTTATCTAGAATCCGAGGTTTCAGAAAAAAATATAATGCATTTCTAAACACAGAGGACAGCCCAATTAGGTAAGATGTAACTCATTAAAACACGTAGCACAATGCCTGCAGAGCAGCACACAGCTGTCAGCAGAGCTGCACAGCCATCACAACCAGACGTCTCCTTCTGCAGCCCTCACACACCCATGTACTCATGCTGCTTTCTGAGGGATTACTCATTGAAGTAAGGGCTGCCGTTTCCAGTTCTGTGATCGCATTCATTTTACACATTTAATGCTATTAAAATGGATGAGTGGGAACGCTCTGCTCCAAATCCTCATCCAGCGTGCTGCCTCAAATGCTGTTGGTCAGAGTGGTGGTGATGCTGCTCAGCACAGCTGTGAGGAGGGCACCCATTTTTGTCCATCCCTTCCTCCCCAGGGCTGGCTGGCTGTGCCTCCTTTACACCTTGCAAGCTCCTCAAAATCAAAAGGCTGCAAGCAACCTCTCTAGCAGGAAAGCCATGGGAATTAGAAGCATAATCGTGAAAAGAAACGTAAACACTCTGCACTTGCATCCCTCTCTGTGTGGTTCCATATGGGTAAAAACTGGTTTATCAGAGTCAGCAAGGTTCTGCTTTAAAAGCAGAGTGAGACTCCACTTGCCCTGAAAATAAACGAGAGAGAGGAGAAATTGAAACAATGCCATGCACAAATCACAGCGTATGTTTCCTGTACTCCTGACACTCCACACCTTACAAACAACGGGCTTTTCCCATTGCATATTCCACCTGCACAAGCAGCTCAAATATACTAAACTCAAAACGGCAAGAAAAAGCATCAGCTCATTTTTCTGAAGTCCAGAAACATTTGGGTTAGTCTGTCTATTTACCCTGAAACACAAACATTTGAGATCTCCTGATTTTCAGGAGCTAAAATTGACAAACCACATATTCCAACGTGTCTTATCCCAGACCTCACGTTCGTGTTACTTAGAAGTGATACTGAAGGAAAGCTACATGTTTGTTGAAGAGTAACAGGAGATTATGAAGTCAAATTGGTGACTGCCAAGTCCACTCCTAGTTTTGGACAGGAGGACTGGGGTGGCATTCTGTAAACAAACTATTAAGTTATTTATGCATGCCTCAAATTGTTGCTGTTGGCTTTTGTTCATTTATGTCTGAAAAAACAGAAACAAGTGTCTGCAGAACGCAGGTTGTTTTGTGTTTGTTTGTTCTTTAAAGGGTGTCCCTAAAATAGCTTTAAGAATATTTTTTTACTGGAAGCTTACAAATCAGGTACTTTGCAACAAAAAACTTCAGTGTGGTTAAAGTGTTTTCTACCAAATGAACTATTATTCTGAAGCAACAACAAGATAAGGTACAACCATTTTACAGATCTGAACTCATAAAAATAGCATACAAAGTTTGTTATTTCCTTTCCCATTCCCCACCATTATCGTATGCATTAAAATTAATGTTTTGAAAACCAACAGAGTTATGAAGATGTCTCTTTTTGTCTGGAAAAGCAAATTTGAATATAACTTAAAAAAAAGTCACGTAGGGACTGTACAGACAAGTGATGAAACGCGAAGATGGTATCAAAGGGAGGTGTTCAACCAACCTCATTATCTTTCAAAAGCAATGGAAACCTCAATGCCTCAGTACTTTTCCTATAAGAGGGCCTCATATTTCTGCCAGCAGCACTCTTCCTTACAGGGTGCCTGGTAAAGCGTGCATTTTCCTGAAAAGCAACAGGCTTTTTGTTAATTCATTAGCATCGCTCAGCAGTGGCAGTATGCGGGCAGGGATTAACCCCCGGGCCAGGCCAGCTGGCCTGCACATCCTCCTTCAGAAGGCAGGCACACTGCCCAAACCTCCAACAAAACAAAGGCAGATGCAGAACTAACGCATAGAGGGAAACGCTAGTTTTTGCACCCAAACTTCTGCTCTTGTACTGATGGGCTTCAGGACTTCGGTACATCCCACACAAGGAGGCAACATGTGTTGTGCCTCTCGTCCTCCTCCTGCCCCTGTCTTCCCAATGCACCGTTAGCAGACATTTCAGGACTGATTTTTGAAGAGTGTAGCAGACGAAATGGTCACAGCCTGTCCTCTAGCACACATTTCTAATACCAGAGACGATATTCTAACTGTACCAAACAGTAGGAAAGCTGGCTTTCCTACACCTATTTGCTTTTGACATGTGCCATCCAGCTGATTCCCAGGAGCTGATTTTCACTGGCCAGACTCCTGCACTCTCGGGAAAGTATGGCCACACAGCTAGCAGCCTCCTTCTCTCAAAACTGGAACACAACGTATCTAATAAACAGGATTATTTTCTTTCATAGTGAGTCCCTATGTGGGTCCTACAGACCAGGTGCTCTGTGGGCAGCGCCGCCCGGCCTCAGGCAGCCACGGCCCTGCACATCAGTGGTACGGAGTGTCTGACATCCCTTCACAGGACAATACACCAAAACCATCATCTCCTTCTGGCTGCCTTTTCAATTAAGAAAGAGCATTGTTCTTACTTTGATTTCACTGAGATGGCATTCGAGGGAACACACACCCCTTTTAGGCAGTGTCCCATTATTTGCCCATGCAATCAGGGCTGTGCTTCAGGCAGGCTCTCCAAAGGAGCACATTTCTGCCAGACCCCATCCTCAGGTCATCACAGTAATTAAGTAGCACTGATGCGAGTGCAACAACAATTCGGTGGGCTGAGGATCTTAACCTGTGGGTTGCATCCTTCAGCTTTGCTGTCTGTGACACTGTCTGTGCAATGGCAAGCACTGTGCACCGATTTAAATCCCAAGGTAATCACAGAAGGAAGAAAACAGGGTTCAAATACTCCACGTAACTGGGTTTTTCATTTGTGCTTTTTATCTGCTTTCTTAAGGAAAAGCTGATTCTCATTAGGAGGTATGTTTTGAAGCTGTTACCCAAATTGTTTACATAATTGAATAATTCTACTCATAACTTGCTCAATTAAAAAAGTTAATAAATCAGAATTTGCATGTAGATAGAAACTGACACTTTTAAAACATACAGAAAAATTTTAGATTCTTAAGTAGTTGAAAGGAATAGTTTGGAACATACCTGTAAGGTATTTTAAATCTAAAACATATTTCATAATCTGAGTTATTAAAAATGAATATGATGTCTGCTTGAATTTGGTCATCATACCCTTCGAAAGTCAGACTTCATCTCTTATTTAAAAAAAAAAAAACAGATATCCAAATGAATCAAACCCTAATGACACCCCAGCAAAGATCGCCAGTTCTGACACCACAACTGAAAATTTACCAGACGTTTTCTGCCAGCCGCAGACAAGGAGAAGCTACAGAAAGAGGCCAGAAAAGAGATCATGAAGTACATGATTTCACAGAGGGTCTTTTGCAGAGGTGGGGCCTGTTTTGCCTTTGAGAGAAAGCAGCTATTTGCAAAACAGGCGCTCCTATGCATTTCTCTCCTTTAAAGCAAGAGGGAGGGAAAGCAGCGAAGACTGGAACCACTGGTTATATCCCATCTCATTTAACAGCAACCACTGGTATATCCCATCTCATTTAACAGGAACCACAAGCGATACACCTCAAAAACCCCCTTCTGTTTACATGTGCAGCACTGAAGCAATGGCTGAACAAAGGGGAAGGAACCAAACATCCTCCCTGTCGTGAAGCTGGGAAGCTTGGAATTCGTCTGCCTCCTCCTCATCCTCACTGTAAGGACTCATTTGTCTCTCATTTGTCCTTTAAAAACCTGAATTTCAGCAACTGTTTAGGCAATACTCCAAAGCTGTTCCACTGCACTTGAAAACTAGGCATGTCCGTATTACATAACGTACATTCACAGGCAGAATGTATACAGACATAAAACAAACAGGTTTCCACTAATTACAGTCAAAACTGAAGAAATTTAGTCTAATTATTTACCACACACACGTGTATTAACATACATGCAGACAGAAACGTAAGTTGTTCATTTTGGTATACAGTATCACGATCTGAATCAAACGGTAGCTTGTAATCCAAAGAGCAAAAATTACAGACAGCAATGATCCCAACAATCACCTGTGCCAAGAAATCAAAGCCTAATAAGTGCTAGAAAAATACTCTTAATCCTCATGCCTGAGCAGCTTCACTGGCTTGCCTGCTGCAGCCTTCAGGGATTGGGATGAACTGGGAGAGCGGAGGAGTTATAAACACCCACGTTTTGGATTTCAGCTCAGATATTTAATTCAGAAGGGAAAAAAGAAAACACCTCTTTCTTTTTTTTTTTTTTCGTCAATAAATGTGAAGTGATTTTTTTTTTAAAGCACAAGCTTGACATAAAAGCTCTTTCATAAAACGTTCTTAACATCAGGGATAGAAGCCAGGCAGCTGTGCACTGTTATTGTGTACACGGTAAATCAGGCACAAAAAGGGGCAGCTCAGCAGGGCACCGGGAGGGTAAGATGCACACTTAACCCCCTGCACACATTGTTGCTCCATTTCTTTCCATCTTAGTCTGTCTGCAGTCAGTACTGTATCTGTCATGAATGTAACAGGCCATTTTCAATCTAAATCTTGTTATGGATTAATAAGCAAACACTTTCTCGCTTATTATGCAATTTATCATCATGAAAATTGCATTGGGCTCCTCAAGGCTACATGCTGATACATTCATTTATTCAGTGCTCTGTGTATAGAGAACCATACTAATCTTTATGACAGCTGAGAATGTAATAGCAAGATGAAAATTACTTTCTGAAGAACTGTATTCACTGGTTTGTGCAAGCCCACATTTAAATACAATAGAACACACAAGATTCTTTGGGAAGGTAAAATGTCTTGGCTTCTTCTGTCAAGCTAAAATAATCGAGGTTCAGGCAGATAACAATATTCACCCAGTTTGTACAGATTTATCCACTAACTGCCCTCAACACACCACAATCACTCATCCTTCACAGTCTGAGGAAATCAAAACTGCTATGTAAACTTGGTAATCTCCCTTAATGCAATGCAAAAGGTACAAATCTTAGTGCTCCCACAGGTGGATGCATACACAGCATTAAGACAAACGCAGTCAGCTCCTTTCTGCACCCATCACTTAAAATGTTTATGTGTGCTTATTAGTAAACAGTTTTAAGCATATTCATAAAATAAAACTTGCAACATAGCAGTTTTCAGAACTAGGTTTAGATCTTGAACGCTAAGGTTAATGATGTGGACTTCCACTACAAGTGCTTGTGGTTTTCAAAGTTAGTGCTGCAAACAAAAGAACTTCTTGACAAAACCAGAAGACTGTTTATAACTATAACAACAGTTTAAATACCCATCAATAACGCTTATCATTAGAAGTGCTTCTGACCATATAGTTTCATCCAGCACAGCGTACAGAAAAAATCCCCAAACACAATAATTACTAATGTATCAAACAACAGGCTCAGAATAAAACGGGAAAACAATTAGGAATGTTATTTTTAATATCTAAACTAATGTTACTACAGTGGTGTTGTAAACAAAAATATCTGCAAGCTAACCACAGACCCTCCTTATGCTAACAAAACAGTTCTAACATATATCAATATTCCCTACAGAAATGCCTACTGCAGTTTTATATAAACATTTTCTTCTCCTTTAACACACAGTTCTTTTCCCCTACAAGCTTCAGAATACATCCAAAAGCCTGGAAGGCATGAACAAAGCCACAAAGCAAAATATCATGTACTGTAAAATGAGCCTCCACATTTTAAGAAATGCAGTAATATTAATACCTAAATAAGCAGTTATGTTGAGCTCTGCAATTTCAGAAGCAAGAGGTTATTTTTTCATGAGCAAAAACCTTTCACAGATGAGTCATGAAGTCTTCTAGAATGAAACTGCTCCTACATTAATGTATGGTTTATGAAGTAATTTAATAATTAATACTTAAAGAAGAACGTCACTAATTAAAATACTATGGAGAAAACACTATATAGAAAAAATTAAGCATTAAATATGTTTTTTTAAAAAACCCCTAGTGAATATTCACACAACACTTTGTGTGCCAGACACAGAAAGCACTAGAATTTCAATCAGTGCAAATTCAGAAAGCTGTACTGAAACGGAAAGCGTTACCACGATTCACACACTGGAGAGTTTGTATTCTGCTGGGAAACACATCCCATCTGCACATACCTAAATTCAGAACTCAAACTGGTCAGCAAGCTGAGTTTGTTTGCTTTTTTGGTGGAAAACAAATAAATTAAAATACATTTACTTTGCAATTTATAGTAAATTTCAGACCAGGTGGCCAGTTTCACAACAAACAATAATAAAAATGAAGACTATACTGCTAGCCCTTCACTGTACAAATAGTCCTGTTGTCATTAATCGGATCTACAGAGTAAGGATTGTGAGACTCAGCTCCCCAGTAGAAATATACTGTCTTTGGGCCCCAGCTCATACATCTAGGGATACTCAATAACAACCCTAATCTGCTGCAAAGCCACACTAATAAACTCCAAACAATAAAATCCAAAAATTCCATGATCTTAACAAAATGTGCGGGACACTACCTTTATTATTCAAGTCCTCCTAGTAAGTTCACTTTGTGTTTAGCTATGACTACTTGATGGTGTGATTAATGGCACTTTCAAGAAGAGAATCTAGTCTGCATAAATGAGGCAAGCCCAAGACCTGCACTGAAATCAACACACTCCTTTCTCATTAGACCCAGCTGCAAATACTTATCTGAAAGATTTTATTGCTACACTAGACATGACAGAGCCATTCTATTATTCTATGACATTTTTTTTCCAGGAGATCAGGTGTACAAGACATATACAAGACAGCTAAATCTAGCCTAAACCATCTGTATCTTTATTCAGGACACTTTGATAACTTGTCCACAAACTTGAAAGATAGGCTGTGGTTCACCGAGTTTATGATTTCTTAGCAATCCTTAAATACACAAGTTTCCTTGATGCTACAAATAGTAATGTCAGCAACAAAAAAACCCCTGCCTTCTCCAGAATGGAGGATTCCTTTCTTTTTCCATCTCCTTGCCGACTATTACAGGTACTTCACTATCTAAAGCAGGGCCAACATAATGAAGAGGACAATAGAGTCTTTAGCAGAGTCTGTTGTGATAGGACAAAGGGAAATGGTTTCAAACTGAAAGAGAGGAGATGTACACTAGATATAAGAAAAGTTCTTTATGCTAAGGGTAGAGAAGCACTGACACAGTTGCCTATAAAGGTGATGGGTGTCCTGTCCTTTGAGATATTCAAGGTCAGGCTGGATGGAGCTCTGAGCGCTTCATGGGCTGTACGTATCCCTGTTTTCTGTAGGGGAGCGAGACCAGACAGTCCCCTCCAACTCAAACAATTCCATGATTTTATTTGTATCTGAGATGACTGACTACTCTAAACACAGGATCTGGACTAGATGATCTTAGAAGTCTTTCCCTTAACAATTCTACAATTCCACAAGCAGGCTGCAGAAGGCGCAGGGTTCACAAGTTTATAAGGAGACACCTACTTGGCAAGCTGCTTCTCGGCATCAGCGCAGAGCTCCAACAGGCCCATCAGCACTGCAGAGACGTCCATGTAGGGCTCCCAGACAGTGAAGCCACGGCCGATGAGGTCAATGGCAGTTCTGCGGATGGTGCTGTGCGCAGGCAGCTTGGGGCTGGGAGGCTGCAGCAGCAGAAATGTCAGTGCCTTGCCTGTCAAGGAGAGCCAGGGCAATGAAAGGTGTTACATATTACAAGCATTGTTCTATATTTTATCCTAAGGGCTGTTTAAATTCATTAAAAATACCACTTTCAGATTTTTTCCAGAAACTCCTATAATCCATGAAAAATCTGATGGAAAGACAGAAGAAACCTGAGATATTTTTAATTAAATTTGAAAAATGTTGCGTCTTACAAGTAGTCCCCAGATTACACATGCTTTGTGGAAAGTACCTACAGCTCCTACAGCTGACTCTGCAAGGAATCGGGTTTTGGGAGCTATAGTAACAAATGATAATTTTCAGTTACACATAAATAAAGGATGTGTTAAAGTTTTGCATTCCGTCAGCAATGCTGAACCCCAGCCAACCTCTGCCTGACAGATCCTGAACAAGTTCTCTATGGTAGCACCAGCCCCTATGTTAGAGCACATGAGACAGCACAGTACAGTCATCTGCTTTAAACAGCTCCATGCCAACACTGCTGTTGTTGACTCTTAATCACAGTATTTTTACTACGTTAGAAATAATCGTTATGCAAAAAAATAGTCAATCTACACGCCAGAAAATGGTGTGTAGAAAATTAAAAAAAATCAGGGTGAATCATGATGCTTCCTTCGAATTGTATGAAGAAATTCCCCTTCAACAGAGTTGCAAAAAAATTTTAAAAATCACTCAAACAGAATCTGTGATAATATTACTGGAGTAATAAAAACCTCTCAGAAAAGAAGGTAAATAATTTTGCAATAATGTCTCAGGAAAACAAATGGGGAAGAAAGCAGTTAAATTAGGCCCTGTTTAGGTTACACATTTTTGAATCCTGCTGGAGCTAAAATAAGTTTGAGCCAGGTATGCTTAACTGAGTGAGAAACAGTGAGAAAATAAAAGTCACAAAACCCACCACAACCTCCAGGTGAGCACCTGCTGCTTGCCAGGCCTGCAGAGCAGCTGTGCACAGTGCAGACAACCAGGGCTCCACAAGCCTCCTCCCATGCCCTGCACAAACCACGGTGCCTATTTGTAAAGTATTCCAGTTTTACAGTGATGATTTCCCTTGTTCTCAAAATATACTTCCTACTGAAAGCTCCTCAATGTTAAACATGTGGGGACTGGTACTGCTTTATTTAGGGAGTGAAATGAAATGATTGCAAAGCCTTCGTGTTGTTCTGACTCTGGTCACTGCTGCTGGCAAAGCTATCAGCATCACAGCTTGAGAGGTGGAAGCAGAACAGAAGTCCCAATAGAAGGATGAGACACTAACTAATAACTCAGTTTCACTGACAGCTCTTGAGATGACAGAGACGTGCTACATAATATACACACAGAAAGCCCACCCCTGCCGTGGGCTGGCTGCCCCCCACCAGCCCAGGATGCCCAGGGCATGCCATCCATTGCCTCAGGCACCCAGGCAGCTCTGGGCAGCAGTGCTGAGCCTGCCTGTTATTGGGTAAAGAATTTCCCCCTCACATCTGACCTAAATCTGCCCTCTTTCAGTTTAAAGCTATTTCCCCTTGTCCTGTCACTATCTGCCCACGTACAGAGCTCTCTCCCTCCCGCTATTTCATTCAATAGATTAGTTTTTCATTAAAGTAGTTGCATACATATATATAAATGTGAGGAAACACTAAAACAACGCTCCCAGACAAAGGTAATTTATCATTATCACTACATAATTATTTGTTACCTCTTAATAACATTCATTTAGTTTGCCTCTGCGGTAATGATAACCTATTGATTTGAACACAGTTTTCCCTGGTTTTCAGAACTGTCTCCTACGAGTTGTGTGATTCATTAAATAAAGCTCCTGACATTTCAGCATCCTGGAAAGCTACTGATAGTCTTGCTGTGCACACGAACTCACACTAAACTTGGATGCGTGTAATGCGAGCTGAAAGTTTCTTCTTAAAAAGTGCAGCTGGATATTAGGAAAAAATTATTCTCCAGAAGAGCAGGGATGCAGAGGCACAGGCTGCCCTGTGAGGTAGTGAAGTCCCCATCCCTGGAGGTATTCATGAACCATGGGGATGTGGCACTTGGGAACGTGGTTCAGTGGGCATAGTGGAGATGGTTTGGGGTTGGACTTGATAATCTTAAAAGACTTTTCCAACAGTAATGATTCTATGAAGCTTCAATGCACATGAATTTTGTCTCAAATGAAAGAACCCATTAAGAAGCATCACAAACATTTTTTTGCAGTGAAGCACTCCAGCATTTCTCATACAGATACTCCTAGTGCTGCTCTTGTTGACACCTGCCCTGTGTACACTGAGCTGAAGAAAAGATGAACTGAACAAAAGTCATCCTGCTGCCCGTTTCTCAGCCTGGACATCTTTGTTTAAGCTTTGACTTGGCTTAAATGAACGAATTAATATTGACAAAAACATCAACTAAGCTAATGAGTTGTTAGTTAAGGCAATAAACATGTCACATTAGAGTCAGCGCAGTAAAGAGGTAATTAGTCCCGGAGAAGCCCTGTTAGTGGGGATGCTCTCCGAGCCCCTCTGCCACCGACCCTGTTCTGTGGGCAGGGGGCTGCATCGTGACACCCACCCCAAGTCCATGGCTGCTGGGAAGGGCAGGTACTCTGAAGAACAAGCTGAAATGGCTGCGAGCAGCAGACTCGGTTTTTCTCCTGTAAATCTGAATAAAAGCAGTAAAACTCAGCCATGGGAAAGATGTGATGATTTGCATGCATCTTCTGCTGTTAAATGTTATTAAGGATGAAGCAATGAAAGTGTCTCTTGTTAAAGATTAGGTGTGACTAACCAGACAGACTGAGTTCAGGCAGTAAAAGAGGAAAAAGAGAGGTCGAGAAATGTCATTCCTATGCACAAATCTCCATCAGCATTTGTCCCCATCTCTTACTCTGCATGGTGACACATATGCCACAAGTACATGGCAACAAAGTTAGGCACAGAGGCTGCAAGCAAAGCAAATCAAGGGTAAGGACTGGAAACTCATCCTTGCAAGCCCTCATTGAAGGCATCTGCATGGCAGCAAAACCTCCGTCCACAAAGCACAGCAGGGCCTGTACTGAGCTGCCCACTTCCCCCAGTGTTTCCAGAACACAAAAACAAAGGTTGGAGTCTTTGATGCCTACTCCATTTCTGCTGATGGGAATGCGACCTGAAAACTAAAGACTTCAGTTATTTTGAATGCATGTACCCCTCTGAATTTCTTGGATGTCTTTCCTTGCTGAATCTCAAGAGCTTTAAACATATTACACCCATCAGCACTGTTATCCTCGTTTTGGAGATAGGTTTAAAAAAATTAAATAATTTGCTCAGGAAAATCAATAGTATAGGCACGAACAAGACACTGATAACTCTGGTTCCCATTCTCATAATCTGCCACAACATCCAGTTTGGACTAAATAAAAATGATGGACTCCAAGAATGTGGTTCAGCTTGCTTTCAATCTTTTTCTGATTTTATATACAAAAGAACAGAAGTGAAGGACAAGAGCTTTAGGGATTTTTTCAGTCTTCTCTCTTTCTCTAAGTCGTGGACACAATGTTTTTTTAATCAGAAATTTAAAAAAGATCAGCACCTTTTTTTGGATGATTTTGTTTTTACAGGTCCTGATTTGACATGCACCTGGATGAAATACCAGCAGAAGGAGAGAAACTTAACTTTGGATATTCTGGTTAAAAATTCACATCCCATGAACTCCTCATTTTGGAGCTGCAAATTTCTATCAGAGTTTGTGCTCTCTTTCAGACAGAGGATATTTTCTGCCCTAAATTAAAACTTGAATAACTTTTCTAAAGTCATAATTATGAACACTTAAAAAATTGAACAATGTGCACTGAGCACATCTCAAATCTCCTGCTTTTTACATAACATACTTCCAGCATTTCTTTTTGCCCTCTATCTAATTGTGGCACATTTCATTTCTTCAACTGAACTTATGCTCGGAGAGGATTCAATTTTCCTGATGCTCTCTCAAGTTACTTATGTTCCATCCGCGAAACAGGTGAAGCTCCCACAGCAATTTCAGCACTGGCATGGGCAGGGAGGGTTTTAATCTCTTTCCAAAAATATGGTATTACAATGTATTAAGAAGTAGTTACTTTGCATGGTTGCATTTTATTCAGTCAGAACAAAAAATGACCTGCAAGACGTTTGTGTCGTTCCTACACGAACAGCCCTTTCATCACTTCTGCTCAGGGACTGCTGCAATGTTGAGAAATAACCACAGAGGAGTCACAGAATCGAGAAAAGACCCCTGAGACCATCGAGCCCAACACCTACCCATCCCACCATGCCTACTAACCATGACCCCGGGTGCCACATCGCTGTGTGCCTTCAACACCTCCAGGGACAGTGATCCAGCGCCTCCCTGGGCAGGCTGTGCCAACACCTGAAAGCAACATTTGCCTGGAAATGTACAACAAACTCTCAGAACTTTGAAAATTAAAGGGCTCCTTACTGAGTGCTGCTTCTGCAGCATGTATATAACTGGATGCTTTTTGGAACAGCAAAGACTTCTTTTTTTTCCCTACAATAAAATATATATACTTTTGCCTTATTTATCTGATCAGAAAGGAAGTGTCCTCGTTCACTCTGAAGACTTACAAACTTCAGAAATATTTAATCATAAAGGGAATATTTCCTCCATGATAAGTACCAACCTAGATTTTGCAAATATAACAGGCTTAGAAGGTCAGAACAGTTGACTCTAGATGCAGTAAATTCATAGCATTTGTACAGAATAGCCTAATAGTGCTTGTCAACATTAAGTGAGCAAACAGCAAGGAGTGCTGGCAAGTGGGCAAAACCAATACAGCCCCTATTTTGTACCAAAATTCCATACAATTTTACATAAATCCTTGCAAAGGGAGACAAAGGAGAAAGACAAAAGCTGTTGGCAATAGCAGGTTTACAGTCCTCGCTGCCTACCCATGGCCTAGTTAAAGTGACCTAACAATGCCATTTTTCTTCCTCTCGAAAACTGCAGTGGGGGAATCAAATGTGAAAGCAAGATCAATTCTGT